TTGTGTTATCTGGTTCCGATAATCGGGTATTTTTCGGATTCGATTACTAAATGCCTGAACCCTAGTACCATCTGGATAATTATTAGCCGTCGTATCGTAATTCGTAATGCGTATCGTCGTCTCGTGCCCGTGATCGCCTCTTGTCCGACCGCTGGAGCCGAACCCCGAGTGTGTGCCCGTGCACCGAGTCCATCCGACCTACCGTCTACGCGCCATTCCGTTAGCCGTGGTCCAAGCACACCTCTGCGTCAGTGACCCTGGCATCGTTTCAAACTCGAGCATCGGCTAAGCCGTGTCACTCGAGTTCGTGCCGGCCCGAGTTGCCACGCCGAACTCAGACCACGGTCAAATCGAGCTGCACATAGTCAAGCGAATGATCGACCGGCTCCGAGTGAGCCTTCGGTCCAGTTCAGTCGAATTGGTTCGGTCAGTGCGGACTGTTCGAGATATATTTCAGATAGAATTTCAAATAAATTTCAGATTCAGTCAGATTAAGATTTCAGATTTATTTAAGATTTCAGATGTAATTAATATTTCAGATAAAGTTAAGATTCCAGATTGATTTAAGATTCAGATATAGATTAGATTAAGTAAGATTAGATTCAGATGTACGACAATAATATTTTCAAAATCAGCTCGTAAATCTCTAAAATGATTTTAAAGCTAAGTGAGCGAACCTAGACAACTCAGATAATATAATTCGAGTTTTCAGTTTAAGATAAGTACTTAGAATATATCTTGCGTTTATATATTTTGTAGCTTGTGGAGAGTCGAGCCTCCAACAGTTGCAAACCATTCAGCGCTTGCATTTCAGCATATCAGGTGGGGACCCTGTACTGGGTATTACATCTTCTATAATCGCAATACCATGGTTGAGGTATGTATGTAAGATTCTGCCCGAATAGGGGCAATTACCTAGTGAGTAGATCCCTTCTAGCTAGGTGAACTGAACGCTAGTTAAGATGAGATAAGAATGTTCCTAATTCCCCGTTATTATCAAGGACTCTAGTGCAGTTGTGAGTTAAGCTCCAACCTTGGAAGTGCATAAGAGTTAGTTTTTCCTAGTATGGATAGCGACCTACAGTTTAGGTCCTACGGATGCTTATCTTGAGCGTGAAGACCAAATGTTCTTCTCGCCAGATAAGTGGTCAGATATAGTCAGTTAGTTAAGCAGAAATTATAGATAGCATGTTGAGCAGCAATTATAGACAATATACTTACTTATACGCATTTGTGATGTGTTTTATCATAGTAGATGTATGCATAGGTTGGGATGCGCTTATCATATCAGATGTATGTTTAGTTCACGATGTTGCGGCTATAGTTAGTCAGTTGAGCAGTCATAGTTAGTCAGTTGAGCATCAGTTATAGTTACCCAGTCGAGTAGAAGTTATAGACAATCCTGAGCAACGGTTATAGACAGTCAGCTAAGTAGCAGCTATAGGCAGTTGTTCGATTTAAGTGCTTATTGGATGAATGCCTAATCTGTTAGTAAAATGCTTATCATCATATTGTTTTCTTCCGAACCATTATGTACTTGCATATATGACGATGTCATGATATGTTATTATATTAGCTGTATATTTCAGTGCCGGTTCCGGCGGAGCACGTGGATTATTTATGCTCACGCCCCCCACTAACCATTTTTCAGGTGCCGGTGTCGAGCGTAGAGCGTGAGCCGATGATGTGGTGGTGGTCGTAGCAAGGATATTTTTAGTAAACATGTAATGTATATTTTAGCATGTTTGAGTTATTATGTTTTGTTGATGCATGCTTACATTTGCTTCCGCACTCAGTATTTCAGTATCTAGAATTTCAGTCTATGCATGGTTAAATCCTGAGATGTATAGAGTAATGAATTATACTCGGTTGCATGCCTAGTAGTTTAAAGATATTAAAGATTAAAGATTTAAAATTAAAGTTGAGTAGCATCCCGCATATAAAAGTTAAAGTATTTTCGAAAAAAATTAATATGAGTTTTCGAAATTTAAAACAGAGTTTTTCTTTTATAGCGCGAAAAATTTACTCTGATTTTAGTAAGTTTAGGCGGGGTGTTACATCCGGTATTTCACCGGCGACGCTGCCAGCAGCGGCGGCTGAGGGTGGCGGTGTTTTTACTTGCTGGCTAAGCAGTACGATATCAACCAGGATTCTACTGCAGTGGGAGTTCCAGTTGAACATGGAAAGAATATACAAGGTTTCTTTGTTTATGTGGACTCAATATTAATTGACCATAATAGTGGATTTATTTATTTAAATACATTATGCCATTATTTATTTACTTATTTATTCATTTTAATTAATTATTTTATTTGTATGGGATTAATTTAGAATTGCTTATTTATTTATGCATGTTAATTAATTATTGAATTTACATAGGATTAATTTAGAATTGCATAAATATTTAAATAGTTAAAAATTCTCATTTTTAAATTATACTAAGTTTGAGAAGGGATTTTAAATCAAAGTTAATAATAAAATTCCTAAGACCTCCATTTCTAATTTTTCGGTAAATCAATTACGGTATGGGCTCCCCCTTGGGTGACATCACTAAAATTAATTGTATCATATTAGCAGGACAGATTTCTAATTAGACGATTAGAGGAATTTTTATGGGAAAGTACGGGATTTCCTTCGGATGACGTATAATCGAATTTGATGAACTTAGGATCGAGAAATGAGATTCACTTAGAATGCAATTAAATTTATTAACCCCCTCGAGGTCCCTGAATTCCATTGCATGACCGACTATTAATTTTGTTCATCATGAATTTGGTTTTGAATTATGGAAATTAATGGGCCTTTGAAAAGCCCTTCTCTGGCGAATATTGAGATATGTAGGGATACCCTCGTACTATGCATTGCTCACGGTGTTTTGAGATGTCGGTGAATTTAAGTTAATATTGTTTTGAGGATGTCGATCTAAGCAGTTAAATTTAAAATGTTTAATTTGCAAATTTAATTTCATGATTCTCAGGCTATATTCATCATGTCGTTCAATTCGTTATCTGTCATTCTAAAAGAACATCAACTTACTGGTCTAAATTACTTCTAAAAGAACATCAACTTGCTGGTCTAAATTACATTGATTGGAAGAGGAACTTAGACATAGTGTTGATTGATGAGGGGTACAAGTTTGCTATCATTGAGGCTTGCCCGGCAGAGACCGCGGTCGATGCTCCTAAGCAGAAGAAATGGGAGTATGCCCGGTGAAAGAAGGCTGATGAGATGGCGAAGTGTTACATTCTGGTGTCTATGTCAAACGTTCTTCAACATCAGCATCAGTCTATGAACACTGCGGCAGACATACTTCTCAATCTCATGAATCTGTTCCGACATTGTTGGGCTGCTAGGCAGAAGGCTATGAGTGCTCTAATGACTACGCGCATGGCAGAAGGCACACCTGTAAGGGAGCATGCCATCAAGGTTATGACGTTACTCAACGAGCTTGAGATATGGGAGGTTTTATCGACAGGGAAACCCAGGTTGATATTATGCTCCAATCTCTGTCGAAGAACTTGGATCAGTTCCAATTGAACTACAACATTCACAAGATGCATATGGCTCTTCCAAAACTGCTAACAGGGCTTCAATTGGAGGTCTTAATCACTCAGGCGCCTCACATGCTAGTCACCGAGGAGGTTGGACCTTCCAGGATTCACGAGGACCGGAAGAGAAAGAAGTCTGTAGGAAAGGCGAAGGCATATGATGTCCTAGTTGTCCCGCGACCACCCCCTCAGGCAGTGGCAAAGAATCCGAATGGTAGATATCACAAGTGAAACAAGTCAGGACACTGGAAGGTCGATTGTCCTATCCTCAAGAAAGGTAACTCTCTCGTTAATGTCATAGAAACATGTTAGCGGTTGTATCTACCAGAACCTGGTGTGTAGATACTGGAGCCACTGATCATGTCTGTAGTCTTTGTAGGGGTTCCAGGAAACCATGCGGCTTAGAGAAAGAGAGATCACCGTCTACATGGGCGATGCTACGAAAGTGGCAGCTGTTGCAGTGGGAGTCGTTACTTTATCTTTTGATAGTAGTAGTTTCGTTTTGAGACTTTGCCTTTATGTTCCTAGTTTTAGCAAGAATCGTATTTCAGTTTCTAAACTTGTTTTGGATGGTTTTTTGTTCACGTTTGATGACTTGGTTATTATCTGCTATGGAAATTGTTTGATTTTTTCTGGTTCATCAGTTGGCAATTTACATGTACTTAAACCAAACTCTTTCACACTGCAACAAACTGAATTGAATAATGTCATGACTAAATCTAATAAGTGGAATGAATCTTCGCAGATGAATTAAGCATATCTTTGGCACCTTAGACATGGGCACATCAATCTTACGAAGATTCAAAAGTTGGTATCTAGTGGACTCCTCGGTCCATTAGAATATCATTATCCGACTTACGAATCGTGCCTGGAAGGTAAGATGACCAAGAGGCCATTTTCGGAAAAGGGGTATAGGATCCAATAAGTGCTAGGATTGATTCATTCTGATTTGTGTGGCCCTATATCGATCCAGGCTAGAGGAGTTTTCGAGTATTTTGTCTGCTTTATTGATGATTACTCGAGCTTCGAGTACATTTACCTGTAGTATCGCAAGTCTGAATGCTTTGAGAAATTCAAGGAGTATCAGGTAGTTGGGGAGAAGCTTCATGGTAAAATTATCAATTCCCTTCAATCTGATCAAGGTGGAAAATACCTCTTTGGCGTGTTAAGGACATACTTGTCGGAAGCTGGGATTGAATCCCAACCGACTGGACCCAGCACGCCCCAACAGATCGGGGTTGCAGAGCGAAGAAAT